CCCCCTCACCCCCCTCCTCTTTTCCTCCTCCTCCTCCTCCTCCTTTCTACCCTGTTTTCCCCCACACACTTCCCCTCTTCCTTCAATCCTCCTCTTCCCTACCCCCTCATCATCCTATTCTCTCCCTCCTCTCATCTCCCTCTCCCCTTCTCCCCTCTTTTACCCTATTCTCCTCCACGCTTTTTTTACCCTTTTTCAAACCTCCTTACATCCCCCCCCTCCTCCTCCTCCTGCACGAACTCTCGTATTTTTCCCTCTTTTCCTGCCTCGCCATCCCCTCTTCTCCCCTCGTGCTTTCAGACGTGCTCCCTCGTCTTCCTCTTTCTTTCTTTCGCGCCTTTCTCCTCTCCCCTCTTCCTTCTGGTCATCCATTCATTCATTCCTCCTATCCTCGTCTGTCTCCCTTCCTCTCCTATCCCCTTCTCCGATTTTCTCATTTCCCCCTTTCTCTCTTCCTCTCTTCTTCTCCCATCTCTCCCCCCCCCCCCCTTGAAGGCTCCCTCACACCCTGGGCCCGGTTCCTGCATTCTGAGCGTGCCTTAGTGTTATTACTTCTTTGTATTTATTCCCCGTTCCACGCTCTTCCTCTTTATCTTTTTGGGGTGTTTTTCTTTTTCGTTTTGTCCGCGGGCTGCTTTCAGATTTTGTCGTTCGCTCGTTTCCATTTCTTTTCCCTTCTCTCCCTCCCTTCCCCCTGCTTTCTTTCTCAGTTTAGTTGCTTTTAGCTTCCCTCTCTCTTTCTCTCTTTCTCATTCTTTCCTTTTCACATCATTTCTTGTTCTCTGTATCTCTCCCTATCCTCCTCTCCTCTCCCCTCTGCGCCCATTACAGTTTGTGTTGTGGTGTAGAGTGCCTCCCATTACGACCGGGTGGGCGCGCTTTTATAAGTTCCACTCATTTTTTCTGTTTCTGTGCGAGTCTCCCGCCTGCTCTCTCTCTCTCTCTCTCCTCTCTCTCCTCTCTCTCTCTCTCTCTCTCTCTCTCTCTCTCTCTCCTCTCTCTCTCTCTCTCTCTCTCTCTCTCTCTCTCTCTCTCTCCCTCTCTCTCTCTCTCTCTCTCTCTCTCTCTCTCTCTCTCTCTCTCTCCTCTCTCTCTCCTCCGTCTTCTCCTCTCTCCTCTCTCTCTCTCTCTCCTCGCAACAGCTTTACCCATTTGGTCTCGATCATTCTCTCCCTTTCCTCACTCCATTCTTTGTTAAAGCCTTTCCTTTCTTTATTTCTCCTTTTTTTTTTTCGGGGGGGTTAATCATCCATTGCTCTTTTCTCGCTTTTGTCTTTTTTTCTCTCCGCGATTTTTTTTATCACCTACTCCCCGATTATTACTCGCCTGACATGTCCCTCCTTCCCATTTTCTATCTTCCTATTCTCTTTCCCCGTCACGTTTCCCATTTTCTATGATAGTGATTGGCGCCGTTTTCCGTTTTCTGTTCGCCTGCCTCCCTCCCGCCCACTCGTCACGGGGCGAGATTATAATTCTGTCCGGGAACGCAGGCCGGAATTGCAGCAAAATTGTTTTATTTCCCGTTCTTATTTTCTTTTGGTTTATCTATTTTTGGCGTTCAATAAAGGGTGATTTTATTGATTTTTATATTTTTGTGTAGTCGATTTTTTAAGAATCTTTGCCTTTTTGTTCAATAAAGGATGATTTTTCATTGATTTTTATATTTTTGTTTTAGTAAATTTTAAAAGAATCTTTGCCTTTTTTCTTTTTATAATTTTTATGCTTTGTTTTTTCCTTTTCGAACGTTTCGGTTGAGCTTTTCGTTGCGAAATTCGTGGTCGTTTTGGGTCGAATTTCTTGGTCGTGGTCATAGGCGGTAATATCGGGAGGAGAATAACAACAATTTTACGTTTTCCTTTCTTCTCTCTCTCCCTCTTCCTCCCCTTTCGCTTTCTTTTTTGTGGTGTATCTTTTGTTTCCTCTTTTTCCCCCACTGTCTTTTCCTTTGTGTCGTTGCGGGGGGGGGGGGGAGTTATGTTGCTTTTAAGTCTCGTAAGTTCTTTTTTTTTATTTCTAGCTCTTTTCTTACTCATCTTTTGTTGTCGTGTATCTTTTGTGCGCTTCTTTCATGACATGTCTCATTAGCTCTGTTTTCGTGGGCAAAATATGCGAGATTTGGAAGAGATTTGTGTATCGTTTTGTTTTTTCTTTTCCTTCTTTTCCTTTTCTAACCTTTTTTTTATTCCTTTTATTCCATCCTCCTTCCTCTTCCCTCCCTTCCTTCCCCGTGGCCTCTCCCCCCCCCTCCACCCTGCGGCACCTGTCCCTCCCTTCTCCCCTGTGGCCTTCACCCTGCGGCATGTCCCCTTCCTCCCCTGGCCTCTGGTCCACCCCGCGGCCCTGTCCCCTCCCCTTCCTCCCCCGTGGCCTCTCCCCCCTTCCTCCCCCTGTGGCCCCCTTCCCCCCCTACCGCACCCCATGCGGCATCTGGTGGCCCCGCTCCTACCCCTGCGGCCTGTCGATCCCTTCCATCCCCCCTTGTCCCCTCTCCTACCTCCAT